TTACTAAAATTTTCTACCATAATATTATATTTGCATGTTCTCGACATAATTTCAATATTTTTATTGAAGTTATGTCGAGAATGTGCAAATTTTAATAATTTTACTTAACTATCTGTGTATACAAAACCATGGTCTAAGTTCAACTTTAATTTGACTTCAGATTTTTATTATTAACAAAGAAGAATCGCATCTAACTTATAAATAATAAATGAAAATTTAATCAAACTAGCAAACATTTTATAATTCTCATAAAGAAGAAGTTCAAAATAAAGTCAGAAAGAAAATAGGTTATAGAAGTTAATTTGCATAGTTTACTTTGTGAAAATTGCTTTAAAGACTTAACCCTATTGCTGTTTTCTTCATACGAAATGATGACTTCAAAGCAATAATACTATCTAAAGTTTGGAATGCTAAGTAACACAATATTCTGTTCAGTTAAAATAGACCCGTCGCTATTTTTAAAATACAAAAACTAAGATTTGTTTTAAAAATTATTGAACTTAATGTCACGCGCATCATGTTTTCCGAATTTCTGTTATCGAATAAAAAAGTTATTAATTTTAAATAATTTAAAAATTTCGAATAACATTAAAAATCTCAACTACAACAATCGAGATACATAATATGTGTTATAATATATGTTCTACATAATAATATATGTGTTATACAGAATACAATATTTATATTTTTATATTGTATAACAAATTCGGTTTACAGATATAAACATATAAAGTTTGTTTTTCTTTTTTTTCACTAAAAATCTGCAATGTAATGAATATTTTTTTTTTTTGAAAAAAAATAAATATATAACAGCAATATAGTAAAACCCATACATTATAACATTATAATAAAAGAAATAAATGAGAAATAACAGCATAGTAAAACAGCAGTAAAAAATTCGAAACAAGAACAAGCGAAAAAAATTTAAATTTTTATAATATATTATGTTTAAATGATGATGAGAGTCCTTATATTAAGGATATAATGGAGTTTAAGTGCAATTGTCTATATATTAAAACTGTATAGATTGCAAATGTACGTATACATACAAACATCATTCTATAAACATAATATATTGTTGAACACCATATGAACACATTCACAATTGCATATGAATATTTTAATAAAACTTAAATATTTTTATTCATTAATGTTTTTCTTTCTTCGTTTCAATTTTTTGTATTATTATACACCTATGCAATTTTACTACAATAAAATAAAAAGAATAAAAAATAAGAAAAAAACTAGATACCCCTAAAGGATATAAAGTGGTTTTAATTTATTATAAAGTATCATCATTTTCTTATATGCTACACATGTATATTGTATACATATATTTTATATAGAGTAGATATTTCTTCTATAAAATATTATTTTATATGTATAGATTACATGCATTAAAATATATTATATCATATATGTATATATTTAGGTTTTACATAAAAAAAACTATTGTTAACACATATCATATTATAGTAAAGATAAAAAATAACTTTTATATTGTCTCTCGTATATACTACTCTCTTTTGTTTCTTATACCCTCAAGCTTTCTTTTAATGTCTCTTCTATACTTTATAAAATTGTTCTTTTATATTATTACACATATGAATATGCATTATACTCGGTATATTATGAAAAGTATAATTTATGGTATAAAATATACCATTTTTCTTTTTTGTGAGATAATATGAAATCAGCGATATTTTATTCAACAGTACAAAAAAGAGAGAGAAACAAAAAAAAAATGTTTTATATTTCATGTGTTGTATGAAATCGTATATCAAATGTTTTACTGATATGCGATTAATATATTGCTGTTTTACCTTTCCAATACAATATTTTTGCATTTAATTATTATTAAATAAGCACGATAATTTCATTCAAATAAACTTTATTAATTACAACAGAATTATTATTTTTTATTTAATAGGATTATTTTAGCTTTTACCAGCGGGAAGGAAAAATATATTAATTTACAAATTGTATAACAATTAATATTTGTAATTTTAATGAGATAAAAAAATATGAGAAAATCTAAAATGTTCTAGTTTATTTAAGAAATTCAAACCTTAACCTAAAAATGTGAAATTTAAAAATTGCTTTAGAAATTTTTATAAATAAAGTTGAAGTTCATATTTTTAATAAATTATTGCAATCGGCTTAATTAATTTAAGACTTTTTATCAAAGCTGCACTCTAAAATTTATCTATTTTGATTAGTTTTTGTGGAGTAATTGATAAAAGTACTCTAATGATAATTAATTTCTTCTGAAGTTTTAATCTTTCTCTGTCACTCAAGGTGTAACAAATATTTTCCTATTATTCGAATTGTGATAGGCCTTTTAGAAAAATGGTTGGTGTCTTCAAAAATTCGTAAAAAATATTTCGTTTGAATTTTTACATAATGATTCCTATCTTTCCATATAATAAAGTAAAAAAAACCGATTCCATATACAATAAAGTTGGGTCAAACCAATAAAATGAAATCTAGGACTTTTCCCTTCAACAAGTGAAAATTCTGCCTTTAAAAACAATCTATGTATGTTCTACATTATTAAAATTACATTCATTCACGTACGAAACCGCTTCAAAAATTGCATACATTTAGGATAATTTAAGGGTTAATTTTCTGAGTTAAGAAAAATAATTATATGTTTTAATTGTATGACATTCAGTTTATTTTCTGTTTCATTCAGTTTCTTTCTGCATTTAAAGGAATTTGGAAAAACTTGTACGAAATATAAGGTGTTAAATATTCAAATTTTACATATTTTTCGGGCCGGTAACTTGAGAGCGGATGAAGGTGGAAAAATTTATATTCTAGCGAAATGAACAATTGATTAGTGTTTAAAGGATGCTAACTTTTTTTTTCTATTACTAACAGTAATTAGAAAATTTTTCACATGTAGTGCCTATGACCTTAATATAAAACAAGCTGTCAGTGTAAAAAAAATTCTCGTTAAAATATAATGTGCCGAATCATATAAAAATGAAATCTTATAACAGAGAATAAAATACAATACAATCTTTAACTTTAATGGATGTTTCGACTTTGCTGGCACATATGTGTACCAGTCGGGTCAAGAGGGTTAAGGACATATAAACAGGAAGTAAGGACGAAATTTCTAAATGAGTCTTTAAAAGAATGAGAGAATCTTTCAGTATTTTATTGGTAATTAGTTTTCTTCATTAGTAAGAATCTGACAATTCCAAAAATAATCAATACTAGTTGATAATTATGTATTTAATAACTATTTTGAAGAAAAGAAGGAATTACTGAAAGAACGGTAATTTTTTATTCAAAATTAGAATTTGCAGTAAATCTCAACATTTTTTTTTTTAATTTTCCAATCAGAAGTATGAAAAAACCATTCTGAAACATTTTTAAAAATTTTAGTTTAATCTTGTAATTTACTTCTTGTAACATTAATCTTGAAAGATTTATAAGCATTTTCACAAAAGTTTTAATTTTAATGTAGCTTCTATTTGTAATAATATTTGAACTTGAAAACTTTTATGAAAATTTCACAAAAAAGTGAAATAAAGATCAGTACAAAATTAAATTTCACATATTAATAATTTCTTGTTCTTTCTATATAATTTGGAAACTTTGCGTATTTTACAAATTTCTTTAAACTAATGATTTCCATTTTTCAAAACGATCCTCAACTTACTATGGTAATTAGCCGTTTATGAAATGTAAAATTTGCACATAAAAATCAACAAAAAATTTTAATTTCATGGTTATTTTAATAAAATAAATAATACGAGCAGCAAAATAATTAATCTTTAGAATTGATATTTTTTGCTAAAATTATATTTCCAAAATTGTTTTGCTTTTAAAGTTATTTTATGCTATAAAATGTTTTTATTAGGAAACATCTCAAATATACAATATAAGAAGAAATCAAGCGATTTCAAGGCAAATTAAAACAACACCAACAATATAATCTATTATAACAATAAAAAGAAGAAAATAAACTAAATAGGTTAATGACACATGAGTTCCAAAACAATGAAAGAACAGAAACTAGACATTTTTTTTTGAAATTTTAGCACAATATCCTTTTTACGTATCATTTTATTGTACAAAAATGTATTATGAAAACTATATTACAAAAACGAATTGCAGAAAATTATTCAAATTATTCAAAAAATACCGAGACACATAACCGCACTTACGTACATACGTTTATACACAAATTTATACGTACGTTAATTATATAACATATGAGGCATTATTTTGTACACATAGCGTACATTCACATTTCCTCTCATTTTTATTATAAATTTAAAAATATTTAATTCTTTTTGAAGTTTATTTGGGAGGAAAAAATATGAGAAACAAAATACTGAGTTTTTGTGAAAGACGCGAAAAAGAACTACAAATTTCTAACGCAGCAAACATTATAAATGCATATGTTGCATAAAAAAATAAGTAAAACAAAAAAAAGAGAAAAATTTTATAATAGAATAAAACCAGGCCATCTATAGAATTTTTCAATTGAGATTTTCATCCCCAAATTTAATTTTTTATTTTTTGCCAAACATAAAAGATTTGAAATTAGGTGAATCCATCTAAATGCCTATACAATCATACACATGCTAAAACTAATAAAGACTGTTGTAGTTATTATGATTTTTTATGCGATAGAAATGCTCAGAACGCAAAACATTTTCTCTTTTGTTTCTGTTTCGTTTTTTTCTCTTTCTCAATATACAATAAGATAGAAACTTTAATTAAATAAAACTTATAGAAGTGCCATATCATAATATATGCCTTTATCTCTTTCGTATAACAGTTCCTTATTTATATAATGCTGATTCAAATAGTTGGAATAAGGCCAATTTATTTTCACTCTAAAATTTCAATAAAATGTTTTTGTTTTTTATTTTTTTTTTGTTATATATTTATACTAGTATAATAATATTTGTTCGACTTTAATATAAATTCAATTTTATTATTTCAATTTTATTAAAATTAATATTTGCAATTTTCAGTTTTGATGTTCGTGACAAATCAAAGCCAGATTCATTACAACATTGGTCTGCTCCCGATGCATTTGGACCCAGAGCTCATTTCAATTTTAATTCATCACCAGCATCATTAGATATTAAGGTAAGTTTAGTATATTAAATTACTTGAAAAAGTGTTATATTATGTGGTATTTTCAAAATTACATTTAATTCAATTGCTTTAAGTTTATGTATTGTCAGAATTCTACTTCGTCCTTGAATTGTTAATTTTAAATAATGCATTGTAAGAGGTTATAGTGAAAAAGATAATAACATAAATTTTAATTTATTAAATTTTCTGTACTAACTGCTTGTTTTTTAGCATTTCTCAAATCTTTTCAATACTTCATCACAAATTCCTTTAGGAACGATTTTTACGTTGAAATATACGAACGATTAAGAGCATTTAAATTTTCTTTGAATACCAACACAATGTACACGCTTTCAAAAATTTTTTTGGTTTTTGTTTTTATAAATTCATCCATAGTAAGTAATGTAAAACTATCGATTTCCCCAGACCCAAGTAAAAATATCTCAACCTTTCACCTTTGCAATAATATGTATGATTTCCCAAATTTTTCTTATCTAACAAACTTAAATTTAGATGAAATTCTTTTGAGACCTCATCTTTAATTCAATATAGCGAATCTTGAATTCAACTCATAATTTTTAATGAAACATCCTTTTCAACTAATTAAATATTATTATGTATATATATATCCATATATATAAGCCTAAAATTAAATTACAAATAAACTCAAAAAAAAATATAATAAAATAATCAAAATAAAAAAATATCAGGAAAGGGAAAGTTTAACTAAACTTTTCTTTCAGTTTCGATTTTTCCTTTTTGTTAAATTTTCTTTTCTTCATTTTCCTTTCTTTTCTCTTTTTATTCTTAATTTGATGGTTTGTATACTTATTTACGTATGAAGAACTTTGTAAATTTGATTTTTTTTTTCTAATTTTTTTTTTAGGTTTTTCTTTTTATATATAGAAAATTAATAAAATACATAAGGTAGTTTTAAGTTCGTTTAGCAAATTAATTGAAAATTTCCAATCTGTTTAACCAAAAGCAATTAGAAATCAAAAAAAAGAACTAAAACAAGAAAACAACATTAAAACAAACAAAAGAACAAGCGAAAAAGTAAAAACTTCTTTCATCAAAATTTAATTTAACGTTAATTGATTTTTATTGTTTTCCAATGGCCAATAAAACCAAATACCTGGAAACAGAGAGCATTAAAATTTTACAAACAATAATAAAAACAAAAACAGAAAAAATAATAATAAAGGAAATAGCAAAAAGCAAAAAAATTACAAGAAAATCTTTTAACTTTACCTTTAACATTTTTGCTCCTATTCACATTTCCTTATTGCCTTTGACCAATTTGATTTTAATCTTGTTCTCTTAAATCTTTAATGATTTTTATATTTAGATTTTCATTTGATTACGAGAACATGATGTTTTTAATTATTTTTATTTTATTTAAGGATATTAAGAGAAAATCATAAATTAAATGGCGTATACAAAATCTATATAAAAAATTTTATTAAAATCCGTTATGGTCGATTAATTTATTGGATCAATCTCGTAACGGAATGAAAAATATCTTAACATCCAAAATACAGAGCTTGCGTGTCGAACTTCTTATAATTTATAATTTCAGATACTATGAGACTCAAGATTCTTACTTCGTAAAATTAAAACATAAATCCGAAATATTCTTCACTTAGTCATTTTATACGAGACCTTTTATTTTCTACAACTGCCTTCCTTAAAATTTATAAAATTTCTAATGAAAAATTCATTAAACGTTTAAAAACAATATTTTTGTTAACAAAGATTATATGTTTTAAGGATTCAATTAATTTTATTTATTTATTTTTTAACAATTTAAAAAGTGTTTAAGTCCTTTATTCATTTTTCTGTTTTTTGTTTTCTTTGCACGTCTTTAAAATAAAAACAAAATATTTTCAGCATATTTAAGCAAAAATATTTTTTGGCTAATATTTATTTATTTCACCCTTACATCTCATCTGAAACTCGACCTTAAACTTTATTTCATCTTTATTATACATACATACATACACACCTAAAAACTTCATTTTGTTATGTACCTATGTAAAATTACATAGATGAAAATTATTTTAAATTTATGCATGTATAATATACATAATAATATTGTACGTTCATACATAAACAAAGAACGGTATTCATAACATATTCATAAAAATAAGATTAAAATCTTCCCTTTTTTTTGTGTTTGTTACCTAAATGTAATGCTTTGAAGAGTCCTTTTTTGTATACATTGATATGGTTACTTATTACTGGGTATTTCTGATTTAACAAAACCTCAGAAACTAAACTTTTATTTTGGATTTTAAGGTTTAAACTTCGCGTTTTAGGATTGGTGACATTAGTGTAATTAATAGTCATATCTGTATATTTAAGGAATGTTTTTATTCCATGAAAAAAAATTTTTACCTATTTCGAGATTATAAACCCTCAAAATCCTGAAAGTTTCGTCCTTTAAGTCATTATTGCAACAAAATCAGAAACATTTTTTAAAATCTGCAATCGCAGAAAATTAGCAACTGACTTTTTCTACCGCGACATACCATATTTGAACTTTACAAAAACAAAATGACCCTTAAAATTTACCATTATCCAAAATCCGTTTTTTAGAAATTTTTGGTATTTCCAGACCTCAGGTTGTAGGAGTCTGAAATTTTAGTAATACTTATAAATAGTTTATTTCATTATTAACAAATTTTTCCACCTTCACCCACTCTCAAGTTATTGTCTCTCGAAATTTGTGAAGTTTAAATTTTTGACACTTGTAAGCTTTTCGAAATTTCTATAAATGCAGAAAGCTAACGGTAAATGTTATCCCATTAAAAAATATAAATATGTTAAAAAAATTAATCCGGGCAATTAACCCTCAAAATCGAGCATTATGTTAACGCCTCTTTCTATTTTTTTGGTTTATTTTAAAGATTGCATACATTGCTAATCCTAAAGGTATGCAATCTTTGAAATATATTCGTATATAAATGAAATTGATTTTAATAAAGTAGTACATGCCTATATTATTTCTAGAAGCAGTATTTTAACTTATCGGAAAGAACAGTACTACATTGCAAGCCATTGGTTTATTACAAACCAACTTTATTATCTAAAATTTTAAAAGTAGGATACGTTTAAAAAATTTTTACATAATAAATTTCGATACGCAAAAATTCCAACTTAATAACTTTATAGAGTAATTTTATTGTTCTTTTCATTAATTAAAATTGATGTTTTAACAAACTCAATAACCTAGTTCCTTCGACTGATTAAAGTGTTGAGAAATGAGAACTTTTATACAAAAAATTGTGTGCAGTATCATAGTTAGGCTAATTAATCATTTTATTATTACAAACAACGTCAATACGAAATCAAAATTTTACGAATCAAAATTTTCCTTTCCTTCCCATTAATAGTTTCCATTTGGAAATATGGAACGTTCTTGAATATAAAGCACTCTATACTATTTTAATAAAAACATATTTGTTATCATATATGTATATGTTTTTTACTAGAATGGTTTTACGCCTTTGATCGTATATGAGGGAGCAGAAGACTTAAAACAATTTTAATATGTTTACTATATAAAAGGTGTCAGTAATATTTTAGTCAAATATTTGCATAGGCTAGCCTTAATATTTTGGGATAATAGAAAGTTCAAAAAGAAAATATTTCAAGAAAATTTTTGTATTAATATATTTATAAAGGTGCAAAGGTATATAAAATGTCTAGAATTTCAATTTATTTTAATCAAATTTAAATTTAATATAATGATATTTAAATTTTTGATTAAAATAATTTATAAAGTGTAAACTATAAAAGAAAAAACCTTTCCCTTTTATTCATGTGATATGGTAATGAATCGAATTACAAAAGGATAATATTTAATAAATATTGTTTTTGTTATTGATTCAGAAATCTAACCAAATAAAATATTTGAAAACTTGTATATAAAATTATTTTAGCAATGAATTTATAAACAAGTAAAAAAAAAGTTAGTAAACATGTCAAATGAAGCCGGAAAACCAACACAAACATCGTAGATATAAGAATTTGAAATTTTGCAAGAATTGTTTTGTAAAAAATTTTTTTATAGAAAAAATAGCTAGCTATTTTTGATCCGAATATTTACGATTTATTTGAATCCCTAAAAGCATGCAATGAAATTATTTTGATTTTACTGACTTCTAATAGTTCCACATATACACAAAATAACTTATAACTATTAAATATCGAAATTTAAATTTTACTCAAAAATATTATTCGATAATAAACTACTCGAGAATCATAATTTAAGAATAATTTTCAATTAAAATTTTATGGTTCTGTGTACCATCAGACCTGATAATTTCAGTTTAGTTTTTTTTTCTTTTAATATAAATTATAAAGAGTACGATAAACAATACCAAATTAATTGACTATTTTAACCTTATTTTCAGTTAAACAGTTTAAAATTGGCTCAAAATATTAGCAAACTAAACATTTAAAATACTTTCAAAGTTTAAACCAATTTACACAGCTTTTTATATAAATCATAAAATTTTTTCAAGAAATTGAACAAAGGAAAAAAGATCATATCAAATAATCAAATTTGACTCCCGGACTAGGCAAAAATTCATATTGCTACGAATTATCAAATCTTCTTGCTACGAAAATCTTTAAAAACTGTGATTTCAAATAAAATTAATAAAGATACTTGACTCGTACAACAGAAGACAAATATAACATTTTTCAACATATTAAAATATAGACCAAAAAGCAAAAGAAATTCTGTTTCATTTTGTTATGCAAAATACATTCTTGTTAGAGCAAAATGGACGTCTACTTGATTTCGAGAAAAAATTTGTATATGAGGTAGGCAAAATTCAATGGCACGGTGGAAAATTTCTTAATAGTTTTGCATTTAAATTTTTTTGTACCTTCAAAAAATGTTCAGAATGTTACGTTTACCGAATTGAGAAGATACTTTTTCGAAAGGCAAAGAAAAACAAATTTTGCATTCAGAAAATTCTGGATATTTCTTGTGAAATTTT